ACACACACTTTCACTCAGCTCTGACTCACACACATAAACACATTCACACTTTCACATTCAAACACATTCACATATTCACATACCCCCACATTTCCACAGACACAAACTACCCTCACACTATCTCATACATTCATATTCAGTCACACATTAACACTCACACACATTCACATATGCTCAGCACTGACTCACATTCATATTCAATCACACACCTACACTTCCACACATTCACACACCCACATTCATGCCCCCACTCACACATATAAAACAACACACTTGCATACTTACAATATCACACACTATTTCACATCATAAACATACACACCCTTCCACAAACCCACACTTTCATAACCCCACACCCACTGAACTGCACTCATAATCTACAGCAATTATACACAGTCACACACTCAGATACATTCACACACCCCCAAATCACTCATAAACACTCATATACATACCAAAACACATAAGCTCGTACATTCACACTGTCACATATACACACTCACAAATTCAAACACACACATATACATACTCACAAACATACACACATACACGCACACTCATAGCCACCAACTGCTGTGGATATCGTTCTGTTTAAATAAAACACTGATTGGCCAGTGGCCAGGCAGGAAGTAGGCGGGACAAGGAGAGGAGAATTCTGGGAAGTGGAAGGCTGAGTGGGGGAGACACTACCAGCCACCACCATGACCAGCAGCATGTGAAGATGCTGGTAAGCCATGAGCCATGTGGCAAGATATAGATTTATAGAAATGGATTAATTTAAGATATAAGAACAGTTAGCAAGAAGCCTGCCACAGCCATACAGTTTATAAGCAATATAAGTCTCTGTGTTTACTTGGTTAGGTCTGAGCGGCTGTGGGACTGGTGGGTGACAGAGATTTGTCCTGAATGTGGACAAGGCAGGAAAACTCTAGCTACAACCAACTCTGACTCACACTCTCTCACACTCAAACACACTTCCATACACACTTACAAACTCTCAGGCACTCACACACGGACACCCTCACATCTACTCAAATTCAGACATGATCACACTTGCACATGCTTTTGCACTCACATGCTCACACACTTCCATACAAAATCTCATACTCAGACTCAACCATGTACACATTTACACTCACACATACACATTATCTCACTCACGCCCACAATTTCACAAATACCACAACACTCTCACATTCACACAATGACATTCAGATACCCTCACACACTAATACACACTCATTCACACACAATTGCATAGACATGCTCCTGCACCCTCATACAACCAAGCACACTCAAATACTCATACACACAAAGTCACACACTCACTCACATTTACACACTCACATAGACTCATCCTCAGACACACATTCACACTTGCATACTTGGACACATATCCACACACATGCCCGCATGCCCACACACACTCACAAACTCTGACAATACACACATCCAGACACACACACACCATTGCATGCTCACACACTCACACATACACATTTTTACATCATACACACTCATGTTCTCACACTCACACATACACATAACACTTTTACTTATACACTCAACTGTAAGTTTATGTTCATGTTGCTGATTTTTTTTTTATCTGTGGTGTGCTGGGAATGATTCCAAGGCAAGGCAAGGTTTTTTGAGAGAGCTTCTCACTACATAGCCTAGGCTGGTCCCCAAGTAGCCTAGGCTGGTCTGCAATTACCAGCCTCCTGTCTCATCCTCCCAGTGCTGGAGTTAATCATGCTTGACTCAGTCTGAGAAAGGGATACATGCATAGACATGGTAGAAGTGAAGGAACACAGATTTTGTGTTTGGCAGAAGAAAAACTAAACCCTGCCCCCAAATTCACTGGCACCAATAAAGAGACTCTTTACATCAAAGTGACCCAAATAAACTATAAGAGTGCAATATGGGTGAGCCAATGTGAGCTGGTGCCTATGTTTGGTGACACAGATGTGTTGTCTGTGACTGATGAGTCTGGGCGGCTCGGCAGGGAACCAGGGCAGAAGATAGCAAAATAAAAACTCTTGCTGGCCCTGGTCTTTGTGCTATAGAAATACAGCCCTGTGGTGTGCTGAAGGCTGATCACAAAGGCTTCTAAAACGGTTTCCCTTTTTTAAGTCAGCTCGGTGACGTTCTGAGAAGTCAGACCTTGGATATGAAAACCAAACTGGGCCAGTGCCATTGAGGACAAAGGAAGCATTGGTCCAGGCAGGGTGAGGGAGATAAGAAGAAATAGCCAGCAATGGTTGACAGGCCATCAAAAGCCTCACCGCTCTGCCCAGGGGGAAGGTCCCCTGGCTGGGCATCTTTCTTGCTTGTCATTGTGTGAATAAGAAAACTATTCAAAATTGTTGACAGTTGGAGTCATGGAGATAAGGTCTCAGCCATCCTTCGTGATGGTCTCAGAGCACCAAATGACTCCAGGTTGATGTGGGTCATGGCTATGACTTTAGCCTAAGAGTAAGGGAACAGTTTATTCCACCGTGGATGGGGAAATGCAGGCACAGAACATTTACTATCCAATTAGCTTTTATCAGATATGCAGAATCTGAACTTCCTTTAGTTCCAAGATGGGCAGGAACTAAATGCTCAGAAAAAGGGATCAGTGCTCCCTCTGCTTTTTCTGTGCTCCCTCAACTGCCTTGCCTTCCCTCAGAAAGAATTTAGAGTATTGAAAGGTGCAAAGCTACACAGGGAAACTCTGTCTCAAAAAAACAAAAAACAAACAAAAAAAAAAAAGTCAGAATCTAGAAGAACATTGTAGTAGCCCTATGCCTGTATTATAAAAGATACCTTCCCATTACAAAATAAAATTAAAATAAACATCAGGTTTAATTGTTATGAAGATAGAACAAAGAAAGTAGAAATTGGAGGTTGGTAATTTAAAAAAAAACCATTAAAAATAACTGGGGAATTACAGGGCTGGAGAGATGGCTCTGTGGCTAGGAGTAGGTACTGTTCTTGTAGAGGTCTCCAGTTCAGTTCCCTACACCCAAGTTGGGTGGCTCACAACCACCTTTAACTCTAGATCCAGGGGATCCAATATTCTCTTCTGGCTTTTGTGGGCAACTATGCTCATGTGCACATACCTGTGGGGTCTCCTTTTCCTCATGGTCCACTGGCCACCAGTCCATGAGGACAAAGGGGCAGAAACAGAGACAGAAAGCTTAGTTTATGGCCTGTGAACACGGTGGAGATAACTCTCCAGGAGACAGCTTCAGTGAGTCAGCTCAACTTTATCCCAGAGTGAGGGGAGATAAATAGGATGGGGGACAATGGCTGTGGTACCACCTAATTTGCATTAAACCGCATGCTCCTCTCATAAGGCTCCTAGTACAAGTCCTAGTTATCATATATGGAAGCATGGTCCTGTCATAAAGCTCCTAGTGTGGCAGGGTCCTGTGCTGTTGTTCCCTTTGGGGGAGGGGGCCAAGTAGGTGCAGAGTCAATGACACAGACCCTGAGAGAATGTTGAAACAACAAGCTCAGTTTATTCAGGAAGAGGCAAGCCATATATATATATATATAAAGAGAGAGAGAGAGGGTTTCTCTGTGTAGCCTTGGCTTTCCTTGAACTCAATTTTGTAGACTAGGCTGGCCTCGAACTCACAGAGATCCTCCTGCCTCTGCCTCCCACGTGCTGGGATTAAGCATGTGCACCACCACCACTGGGCTGACTAAATAATTTTTTAAGGAAAGAATTTTAAGAATTTTAAGGTGAGTAGTTGTAACCTAGAACCCTCCATCCATATTATCCCACCAAACAAGGATCCATTCTTTTACCTCATTTCCCTGTCTCTCTTTGTGGCCTCACTAGCTCAGTTCAGCTGAGTCCCAGGAATCACTACAATTCTCTCCGCCTCTCATCCTAGCACAAGGGAGGAATATATAGTTCTGAGAAACAGGCTATGTTTAAATCCCATATTTGCCACTTTACAACTCAGTGAATTTAGGTAAGTTAGAGATCTTTTCTGTTGCTGTGATGAAATACTCAGACAGAAGTAACTTAAGGGGAAAATGGTTTATTTTAGCACATGATTCAAGGTTGTAGTCCATCATTCTAGGGGAAATCAAAGTGGCAGGAGTTTGAGGCAGCTGGTTTCATGGCATCCTCAGTAGATGAGCATGGGTAGACAATGCTACTCTCAGAAGACATGGGATATTGAATGAAAATCTTGGGACCAGACCCGGGCTGTCTCCCTATGAATCATTGGTTGGGAAGACCCCAGAAGCTCCCAAATGACACAGGCTCTTTGTCATTGTTCTTAGTTGCCCACCATAACTGGATGGTAAAGCCCTGTTGCTGAAGACACCACACACTTTGGTTGCAGGATGTAGAGAAATCAATCTGGAACTGACTGGGGAACTTCCCCTGGTGTTTAGCTTTCTAGTGCCAGAAGGTACCACACAAGCTGCTGGGGAATAAAACTTGTCAATGGTCTTACACAGTGCTGGACCCAGCCTGCCATAATACTGACCTGCCAGGTGACATTGGCCACGGGTGCAATAGTGGCGTGAAGATTATTGGGGCAACCAATTGTTTTCTGATTGGATTTGAAGCCTATCCATGGGAGGGAATTTATACCTGGTATTGTAAAACTGTAAAATCCACTGGCTACAAGGCCACAGGGCATATTGATTATGGACTGAAAGTTCTGAAATTGTGAGCCCAACTGAAGTTTTTCTTCTTTTAAGTTATTTATCTCAGATGTTACACCACAGTGATCAAAAGACCAACAAACACACACACACACACACACACACACACACACACACGCACAAACACATAGACATGGACACGCACACACAGGGACACACAAAGAAGAACCTGAACAAACAGGCTGTGCTAAGTCGCTCTTTCTCATTGTTAAATCATATCATCTTATTTTCCAATCATATTTCTCAACTATCTACTTGTCATCAAATCTAAACATAAAAGCACATGTATTTATTTGTTTCCTTTAACCTTTCTTTTATTTCTAAAATTTTCATGTTCGTAAAACTTATATTATACCAGGTGGTAGTGGCGCATGCCTTTAATCCCAGCACTCAGGAGGCAGAGGCAGGTGGATCTCTATGAGTTCGAGGCCAGCCTGGTCTACAAAGCGAGTTCCAGGAAAGGCGCAAAGCTACACAGAGAAACCCTGTTTTGAAAAAAAAAAAACCAACACTTATATTAAAAATCCTCTCCCCAAGACAGGATCCTGCTGTATAGTTCTGTCTCACCTGTAGCTTGCTATGTAAACCAGGCTGGTTTCAAATCTGCAAAGATCTGCCCATCTCAGATTTTCCAGGGCTGAGATTAATGGCATGCTCCACCATGCCTGGCTATTTTCCCTCTTATTAATTTGTCTTTCATTAGAGGAGCCCCAGCTCCAAGACACACTTGGAAGGAAAAAGCGTTCTTCTTTGTGAATAGCATTAAATCCCAGCTTTATTGCTTCTTGACCACATTCCAGGTCCTACAGGCTCAGCCCATCAGAGTTTCCTTGGAGCGTCTACCGAGCCTCAGTGCCTCATTATGGTAAGCTGTTTTTTCTGCATCAAACATTGCAACACATGACTTGACATGTAAGTGACAACTAGACAGACTATTTGAGAATCAAGGGAAAGTGGTTTTGTAATTATAGTATTTATCGTGTTATATTGAATTGTGTTTATACATGCCTGGGAGATGAGTTTCTCAAGAACTTGTCTATTCTTCACCTTCAAATCCCATGTTAGAGTTTAGTACCTCTGACTCTGTGTGCGCGCGCGCGCGCGCGCGCGTGTGTGTGTGTGTGTGTGTGTGTGTATGATTTATGTGCATGTGTGTGTGCTATATTCATGTGCTGTGTATGCTATATTCATAAATACATATGTGTGTGCTATCTATATTTTATGTGCACATATGTGTGCTATATTCATACATGTGTGTGCTATATTCATGTACACATGTGTGTGTGAGGGGAGCACTTCCTTTGTGGACATGTGTGGAGGTTAGAGATTGACGTCAGGTTGTCTTTAGTCACTCTTCTGTCTCACTTTTTGAGACGAGGGCTTTCACTGACTGGAATCCATCACTTCCCCTAGACTGATTGGCCAAAGAGCTTCCAGAATCCCCCTGCCTGCGATCTGCTTGTCTCCACACCCCAGTGCTGTGGTCTAAGCGCATATGGCCATGCCTGGCTTTTTACAAAGTTGTGGGGTCAACTCAGGCCCTCATATTTAAGCAATGAGCACATTACCCACTGAACCATCTCTCCCCAGCCCATGATTGACTCTTTTCTCACTTACTAAACTACATGTAACTCTTCCCATGGTTACAGCAGATACTTCTGGGGGAAGTAGTACATAGACCAGCTACATACCCTGTGTGCTCCTAGCCTTCCCTCCATTTGTTCCAAGGTACTCTTACGCTGTTTATCTCTGTTCAAGATAGACACAACTGATGACCATGAGAATGATTACCAACCACATAAGGCTTTCATTTTGACAAGAGTTCAAAGGCTTACAGGAAGATGGCGTAGGAATCACAGAAGAGGCATCATCCAATAAGAGGGAAGAATTTGGAGAAGCAGAGAGGTTTTTTGGAGTCACTCAAAGCATACCTCATATAGGTAGGTGCTTCTTGGTACAAAATTAAATCATCTTTTAAAAAATGTGTGATAGTATAGCCACTTTGGAAGATGGTTGGCTGTTTCTTACAAAACTAAACATACTTTTACCATATGATCCAGCAATCACATTCCTTGGTATTTACCCAAATGAGATGAAAACATATCCACACAAAAATCTGCACATGGATGTTTATACCAACTTTATTCATAATTGCCCAAATCTGGGAGCAACCAGGATGCTGTCGGTAGGTAAATGAATAAGAAAACTATAGTACATTTAGACAATGGAATACCGTTCAGTGTGTAAGTGATTAAGACATGGAGAACACGTAAATGATGTAAGACAAAGAAGCCAGTCTGAAAGGCTACGTACAATTAGAGTCTAACAACACAACGTTCTTGAAAAAGGCAAAACCACAAAGACCACTTTTATCAGTGGTTGCCAGTAGAAAGAGGGATGCATGGCAGATACAGAGGACTTTGAAGGCAGTGAAGGCATTTTGTAAGATCATGGTGGATACTATCATTATACATTTGCCCAAGTCCACAGAATGAACATGAAGAGTGAACATGAACATAGACTGTGGACTTTGGTTTGTTGGTTCATTGCAACAAATGTGCTACTCTGCCGAGACAGGGTGACAGTGAGGGAGGTATACGGACAAGAGGGAATGCTGAAAACTCCTCTAACCATGGACTATTAAAAACAGGAATAAACAGTATGGAATGAGAACAGCACCTGTAAAATATCTGTGGTGACTGGGGAAAAGCAGCCTTCTCCATCACCCAGAAATGTCCCTGAGTCCCAAGCCAGGCACAATAGGTACACACTCCCTGCATCCCACAAAACACTGCATCCTCCTTGTCTGGCACAGGGCCTGACATTTGGTGGTGCTGACTGCCGGTGTGCACAAGAAGTGAGTCAGAACACGTGGCAACTGGTTGGCTGCCAGGCAGCCTGCTTGACTCCAGTCTGGCTCTGTACACCTCGTGCAGTGTGCTCCTCAGGTGGCGCCCTCAGCATCACTGATGCCTGCTGCTCCAGGGGATGTGTTCAACCATGAAATGGGGCGTAATCCCCGGGGTGCGTGGAGTTCTTCACGACGGGTGAGTTGAAAAGGAGAGTCCTTTTCCTGGTGATAGCATAGGATGGGGAAATTATACACTATGGTAGCATTCTTGATTGACTGAAATCTTTCTGGAAAGAGAAAATATTACGCTAGCCAGTGGGGAACTAATGAGGCTGTATGTTAGTTCTAGTTCTTCCACTCTCTGGCTGAGAGAAAGCGAGTCGATCTGCAAATGCAGCTAGCCTGCTGCTTTGTGAACAGAAAGAGCACACACTTGGCGTGGTGATATCTGTATTCTCTTTGTCATTGTGACTTAGCAAATCCCTGTGGCAAAGGAACTGCTTTTAGACATCAGGGTCTGTACCTTCTCTGAAGCAAGACATCATCAGCTATTCCTACTATGATTTCTTTCATTGTCTTGTTTAAACTAATTGTCATGCACAATGATTTTTATTTTACCATGGTGCTGGTGCTCCATGTACCCCATCCTGACCACTGTGGGCCTTTCACTTCAGGCTGCTTCTTCTGTGATCCTTGCTGTTGGGGTCCAGCAGAAGTCAGAGAGCCAGAGGCATGTCTTCCCAGGCTTTTCCCACTGTATTGGCTCCCTAGGGCTACCATAGACAATTACCACAAGTTAGGTGACTTAAAACAATAGGAACTTGCTATGTTCACAGACCTGGAGATCAGAAACTGGAGATCAAGCTGTTAATGGTTCTTGGCTCTTCCTGGAGGCTTTCAGAGAGATTCCATGCCATATCTCTGAGCCTCTGGTGCCTGTTGGCAACCTCCAGCAGTCCTTGGCTGGTAGTCACATCAGTCTCTGCCTCCATCTCAGATTTCTTTTCCCTGTGTGTGTCTGTGTTTTAAATATCCTTTCCGCCTCTTAGAAGATCACAAGTCCTACCTATTCACAGTAGAGTATAGTTGTAGTCAAAGCTACTTTAGAGGATGAGGCAGGAGGATCACTTGAAATCAGGAGTTCTAAGACCCAGTTATGTATTGAGATTTCCATCTTAAGACAAAAGCAAAACCTCCTCAAAACCAAAATCCAAACCACTAATGGTGTCCTTAAATCCAAGATGATACCATTTTAGATCTAAATACATTTAAAAGATCTTATTTCCAAATAAGCACATATTTACAGGTACCAAGCACTAGATGTTGGGTGTCTTTCAGGGGTCATAATTTCCTCTCCAATCACAGTTCTTCTTCCTCCTAATTTAACTTTTTATAGATTCTTTGTGAATTTCACATCATGCATTTCGATTCCACTCATCTCCCCATCCCTTTACATCCACCCTCTGCCAAGATAAAACCTCCTCCCAAGATAAAAACAAAATGAAATTTAAAATAAAAGAAAAAAATCTTGTCAGGGAAGCTGTAGTGTGACACATTTTGAGTCACACAGTGTACCCTTTAGTCCATACATCTTTACTTGCAAGTGTTCATTGCCATGAGTCATTGGTCTAATTTGAGGTTTCTGGTTTCTACTACACTATTGATATTAGGCCCTCACTGAGACTCCTTATGGATATCCTGTTGTTGTCCTGTGTCATGGAGACCTGGGTCTGCAGGACTGGCCACTTCATGTGCTCTAGTAGATCACAGATGGGATGGATGTTGGGATGGGCCAAATCATAAGCCTGGTTCTGGGCCTGGGTGGTTGCTGGGTTGGTCAGCCCACCAGCTCTTCCCCATCCTCACCACCAGGGTGAGCTCTCCAGCACCACCCCCAAGACTATCTCACATCCTGGGGTTGACTCACCCACACCGACACCACCAGGGCCAGCTCTACTGTATTGCCCAGGCAAGGTGCAGGGCCCACTCTCCAAAGTGCTGCGCCTGGTGAGAGGCAGGGCCATCTCTCTCGCTCTCCCGACCTCAGGGCCAGTTCCCCTACCGGCCACAGGCTATAAGAGGGGGGCATCTTTCCCTTGCCCTCACCACCGCATGGAAGATGAGGCATGTAGGGACAGCTCTCCCACTCTGATGAGGGGCGGGACCAGATCTCACACACTCTCAGGGCTCGCTCACTTACATCCCTGCCAGCAGGGTCAGCTCAACTGTGCTGACCAGGTGAGGTGCAGGGCCAGCTCTCCAGAGTGCGGCAGGGGGTGAGGTGCAGGGCCAGCTCTCCCATTTTCATGACCTCAGGGCGAGTTCTCCTACTGGCCACAGGCAGTGAGGGGTGGGGGTGGAGATCCAATCACAATTGTTATTGGTAATACTGATTCCTCTTTTCTGTCCTCTTTGCTCCAGGATTGGTCATTTCTCCCCTCTACTAGCTAGACTATGAATGCCTAACAGACCCTATAATAAGGAACTGAGTTATTGAATATATTTCTACTCATTACTTCTAACACACACACACACACACACACACACACACACACACACACGCGCGCGCGCGCGCGCGCGCGCGTAACATGAAAATTAAATTGATATTCCTGGAAAATAATTAGAAAGACATAACAGACATTCTGGATATAGAATTCATAAGAATATAAGCCAGGCCTCTGAGCTCTCCCCACATCTATGTTAGGATGTCCATTGGTTGACACTGACATGTCTATTGAACAAGGGTGTCTTCCGTGTTCCACTCATGTTTAGTCAGCCAGGCTGGTGATATTTTGTGGGTGTAGCTTCTGACATTCTTAGGAGACACATCTCACAGAAAACTCCCTGTTCCTCTAGCTCTGACAGTCTTTCCACCCCTTCTCCCACAGTGACCCCTGAGCCTTAGGTGCAGGAATTATACTGCAGGTCTATTCACTCAGACTGGGAACCGCAACTGTATTTCGATTGGCTCTTTTCTGTGATGGCCTCTGACTGTTACAAAAAGAAGTTTCCTTGATGAGGGGTGAGGACTCCATTCACCTGTGGGTATAAGGACAAACATTTAGAATGTAGTTAGGGATTATGTTGTTTAGTACAATGGTGGTTGTAGGTTCTCCTCCAAGATCCGTGACTTCACAGCCCCACACAGAGAACTACAGGCCACCAGGGAATGCTGAGAGGGGGAGAAACAGTCTCACAGGAGGAAGAACATGCCAACTGGCCATCTAACACCAACTTGTCAGCCTTGAAAACACATGCATACAAGTAACGTCATACAGACTGAGCAGGCGGTACTTATGCATTTAACTATATATGTGTGTCTATAACAACAATTAACTTTAAAATAGGACATTAATTTGAAAAATAAAGTAAGGAGAGGTATATCAGAGGGTTTGGAAGGAGAAAAAGGAAGGAGAGATGATTTAATTATATTTTAACTTCAAAAAATTAAGAAATAATATAAGCCAGATGTCAAGGCGAAGAATAAATTTCATGCTTTTCTCCATTGAAGGGACAACCTTATGTTCACTTTTACAAAGCCATTCCTCAGAGCTTGCTTACTTGTTACAGTTTTGTATGAAAATAAAAGGGGTTATTAACATTTTCTTAAACATTAGTTTTGTTTGTTTGTTTTAAGGACATGTAGCAGAAATTTCTCCAGTCCCACCTGGTCCCGTGGTCCTCTAGCCACTTATAAAATAATCACTCAGAGGCTTATATTAATTACCAACTGTATGGCCTATGGCTCAAGCTTTTTGCTAGCTAGCTCTTATAACCCATTTCTATTAATCTGTAAGTTTTCATGTGACTGTGGCATTACCAGTCTGCTGGCATCTTGCTGCTCCTTGGGTAGTGGCTGGGGTCTCCCCTAACTCTTCTTTCTCCTGTCACTATCTCTCTTGGCTTTTCCTGCCTGGCTCCATCCTGCCCTGCCTAGGCCAATGCAGCTTTGTTTACTAACCAATGGGAACAGCATATATTCACAGTGTACAGAAAGACATCCACAGCAAGGACAATTTTGAATTCTGTGTCATCTCTAAAAAGCAAATATAGAAGTATTTATAGTTTGAATATATATTTTAAATTATATTTAGAATCATCTGGGATTTTTTTTAAACAAACTGAGTTTGTGTCCTATTCTTGATGTACTTAAATAAATCAGCCATCACTTAGTTATGAGTATTTTTATACCAAATCTCAACACACAGGTATTAACATGAATATTTTGAGTCATCTTGGTTTGGGTTCTGTATTACTTTTATTAATGTGATAAGATACCATGACCAAATGCAACCTAAGGAAGAATGAGTTTATTTGGGCTTATGGTTCTAGAAGGAGAGTCCATAATTGAAGGTGGTGGTGGTAGCAGCAGGCAGCTGGAGCAGGAAGTTGAGAGATCACATCTTCATCTACACCCAGAAGTCAGACAGCCAACTGGGAGTGGGATGAGGCTATAAAAATCTCAAAGCCCCATGCTCAGTGGCATATTTCTTCCAGCAGGTCTCCATCTCCTAGAGGTTCCATAACCTCCACAGACAGTGGCACCAACTATGGACCACGTGTTCACACACATGAGCCTCTGGGAGAGCATCTCTCATTTTAACGACCACAGCTTTCCACAGAGCATACCCTGAAATAAGAATGTGAAGATGAAGAAAGAAGATTTTGGAGAAAGGTGGTACTGAAGATGGAGTATGACTCAAGGAACAGAAGGGAACCAATGAAGAATTTGTCATCAACTGATACCGTTTCTCACAAGTGGAACACAATCCCAGCAGGATTTTTTTTTGACTGTAGGACTGACTCCCCGATTAAGAAGTGAGGAAGGAATCTGGACTTACTTCCCCACCACCCCCTGTTTCTCTCTCCTACCTTTGGTTGAAAACTGCTTCTGAGGACGTGGATGCTCCAGCATGTTAGGTTCATCCTCCAAGTAGTTATTTTGATTCTTGAAGAAAGTTGGGGTTTTTATGGTGAACATGTTGGCCTGTACAGGAATATAATAAGGGTCCAAGTAAGGCACTGTCTTAGTTACTGTTCTATTGTTGTGAAGAAACACCAAGACCAAGGAAACTTATAGAAGAAAACGTTTAACTGGGAGCCTGCTTGCAGCTTCCGAAGGTCAGCCCATGATCATCATTGTGGGGTATGTGGTGGCAGGCCGGAAGACATGAGAACTACATCTTGATCTCAGATAGCAGAGAGAGAGGGGTGTGGGGAAGGAGATTATGACTGGGCCTGGCATGGGATTTTGAAACCTCAAAGCTCACTCCCAGTGACACACCTTCTCCAACAAGGTCATAACTACTCCAAGGCCCCACTTCCTAATCCTTTCCAAACCTTCCACCAATTGGGGACCAAACATTCAAACATATGATCCTATGCGAGGAGTCATTCTTAGTCAAAACACAACATTCCACTCCCTGGCACCCATAGGCTTGTAGTCATATCATAATGCAAAATGCATTCGGTCTGACTTCAAACATACCCATAGTCTTTCAATATTAAGATTGCTTCAAAGTCCAAAGTCTCTTCTGAGACTCAAGGTAATCTCTTAACTACAACCATCTATAAAATCAGAAAGCAGATCACACATGTCTAACATACAATGGCACAGAATATACCTTACCATTCCCAAGGGAGAAAAGGAAGTGTAGTGAGGGAATACTGAACCAAAGAAAGATTAAACCCCAGCATCTCTATGTCAGTATCCAAGAACGTTAGACGAGTCTGTCCTTCAGGTTTGCTGGCTACAGCACACTTCTCTCTCTTCCAAACCCAGCCTGCAGCTTTCCTTAGCAGGTTTCCCATGGCTCTGGTGTCCCCAACATCTTGGAGTCTCAAATACAACCCAGGTTTTACCTTCACACAGCTTCAGACAACGGCCTCTCTGGGCCTCTGTTCAAGGACTCCTGTGCTATGCCTGTTCTTGGCTGCTTTCCTTAACCGTAGAGGAAGGTTCCACAACCCCTCTCTTGAACCCTTCTTGACTCTATATCCAGAACCTCATGGGCAAAGCTACCAAGTTCTTCTGCTTGCTGGGTCTAGAACCCAGCCCCCTCCTTGAATTACATTTGCATAAGCTTTCTGTTGTTAATGGTTTCCTTTGCTGCTTAGGCATTCTTTTAATTCCTTTTCACAAGTTGCAAGCTTAGCTGGGTGGGGTCTTGTTGCTCAATTAGGCCTTTCTTTAAACTTTTTTTTCCCTTGAGCATAGGCTTTGGCTCCAACATTATATTTTCAGGTGCTCTTTTTCTCCCCAAGCTGTACAGTTTGTATTTCTCTTTGCCCAGTGTAGAGTTTGAATGTATTTGGGCCCCATAATCTCATAGGGAGTGGCACTGTTAGGAGGTGTGGCTTTGTTGGAATGGGTATGGCCCTGTTGGAGGAAGTGTGTCATTGTGGGGGTGGTCTTTGATGTTTCTTATGCTCAGGATACTGCCCAGTGAGTCACTCAACTTCCAGTTGCCTGCAAGATGTAGGAGGACATTTGCCATTTCTCCAGCACAATGCCTGTCTACACGCCACCATGCTCCCTGCCATGATGGACTGAACCTCTGAACTGTAAGGCAGACACGACAATTAAATGTTTTCTTTCTAAGAGTTGCTGGGATCATGGTGTCTCTTCACAGGAATAATAACCCTAAGACACCCAGCTTGCTCCCTTTCATTGTAGATTTGTACAAGAGTGATCACTAATTACCACATGACACAGTCAATACTAGACTGTCGTGAAATCGCCTCTGTCAATGGCATCAATCCCAAACACTTCAGTTTAGCCT